CGAGAGTTGACCTTACTTATTTTATGGTTCCTAATTTTATAAACATGTTTTCGCCTGAAACTAATATAATATAAATATTACACATTTTAATAAATATTCATCCTCCCATAGAAGTTCGTTAAAAGTCCAACAATACCTAATCCTATGGTCACTTGAGTAGAAAGGGACGCCTGGGAATCCTGTTTAGCACCATCTCGCTTGCTCTCATTATTAACACATCAGTGCACAATCTAGTTTTTAATATATAATAATAAAGATATAATTATCTTTGGTGACAACTCGAGTACAGACTCAGATCTCTCGCTCTATAATCACTCGCATAATGTATGAGGTCGAGCGGCCTGTGTTGGTAAGCAAATCCGAAACAACACAACCGTTGCTATGGACCGTTCTTATTGAAATTTTTAAGATTTAAATAGTACTAATGTCATTATGAATTACTTACATACAACGCTATCTTTTTGCAAATTTGACGTGGCAGACCTGGTTTTGCAGCAAACAACTTAACAATTCGGTATTTTTGTAGGACGTCAATTCAGTGGTCCAAATAAATTTAGTCTAGTGAGCTGTGCGGTTGCAACCTAAGTTGGCAGTATTTGTTAGGTTGCCATGATAAAAAAAATGGATTAATCTGTGGATTGAAAATTCCAGTGGTGCCAAGTTAGGCGATTACTCGTAGTTACTTATCTCGAAGGGTGTCGGGGTGGCTAAAAACTGCCGACTGGTCGCAATTTAGGCTACTTCAGATAAAAACGAGGATGACTTTTACGTATGCTAAATTAATTTCTCTTTAATAATGTTTTTCTCACAGAGAAATGTCAAAGAAAACTAGATTTAAAGGTATTCAAAAATATATTTTACCGGTAGTGACATAGAGACCAAGACAAATAAATGTATTTTAAATTATTTGCCCTTGGCTCCGCCACCACGCTGGATGTTCCCCTCCTCTTCCTCAGTCCTCTAAATATATGATTGTTGTTTAATTTCATTTGTTTTGCAGATTGCACAACAAGATGCAGCTGCTTTAATGCGTGTTTTGGGTGTCAGAAAAATGTTTTGCGACAATTACACACCTACAGAGGTTATGATTTAACTGCACAATTTACATAATGAATATCCTCAACACCACAGACTTGACGCTCAATTTGGTTCTTACAACTCTGTTACTGATCCCTCTATGATAATGATTATGGAGGCATTTTAGAAAAGGATCTTTCATTGGCGGTTTTTAACAAGTAATATATGTTCTACTACTCAAATGATGTTTTTAGTTGTAAGTAAAACATTTTATGTCAATTTGTAAAATACTAATAAATAATAGATTTTATATAGGTTTACCCATTTTCCTCATTTACAAGAAACTGCTTTAAAATTTATTTTGTTAAAATTAAAAATTAGGTTGTTTAAGGTAGGTAAACGTGACATTACATTAAACGATTTTAGGCTACTTTCAAGAAAAAAAATTAAGGGAATTTAGGCTATTTGGCGTTAAATTTTTGACGACCTATACCGACTTCCGATTCCGACTGGTGGATACCAATTCAATTCCATGTCAACCATGAAGACCCCCATGCTAACCAGCATGGAGGTTAAAGAGAACAGGAGAACGATCACTACGTGCCAAAGCATAGCTCGCCTGTCCCTGAAAATTTGTAACATTTATAGCCGCGCTGCCGTCGGTAAGAAGTATCTGCAAAGTAGTTTTTTAATTATTGACAAAAAGAAACATTAAAAAATGGTGAAATATTATAAATAATAATAATAATAATTCAATAATTTATATTTGGGATAATTAATTATATTTATAGTAATTAAAATTATAAAAAACATAATTTATAATTTATTTATTAATAAATAATAATAATAAATAATAATATCGTTATTTTCGCACAACAGCCCGATTTTATTGAGACAACTGAGCGATCGCAGTGCCCCACTTATTAGGTCCATATTTCTGGGACACTATGTACCGTAATGTTTCCAGTATACTGGCGAATATAAAAAAAATTATTAATTGACGCCATTTGCATTGGCCAGTACACTGGGTTCTATTGGGTTCTATTTTGGAACATACCCCATATAAACTGGTTTGGTTAGCGCTTATTCATTTGTAATTATCAGTTTATAGTTTAACTTAGTAAAGCTTTTTGATTATATATATTCAATATATATTATATACAGATAATAGAATATTTAGAATACTACTAATAGGCAAGCATGACAATCGGCAAGTACAAAATTTAGTCCCTAAAGTTAAACGTATTTTCGAAAAAATTTAATTTTATAAGAGTCAAGAGTACAGTCAATCTGGGTATCTTTGGCCCACTTTTCGGATAAAAGTGTTAATAAATGCTTAGGTTAGTCGTTTAGGTTTTGGTATATAAATATATTTTAGTGGCTGTAGGTGGTCTTTATTTCAAAAATATTACCAGTTTTTAAGTAAAAGTTGGAGAAAACCTTTAAATTCCTATGGGCTAAAGTTGTCTATGAGTTGGGCTTGGATTGGATTGGTCTCAACTATTGACTGTTTTCGAACCTATTTTAGCGTTTATTTTATAGCCTTTATAACGTTTGGTGAACATTTGCCTACGAATTGGTATTAAAAAATATAAGGCCGACAGCCATAGACAAAGTTTTCTAAGACAATTTGTTTTTAAATTAAACGTAGACAGAGAAATCTATATGCCCCATTTACATTCAGCCCTGTTGGGCAAGGAAGTGAGCAGGGCAGTGGGCAGGGCAGTATGTAAACAGGCTACTCGCGCTGTAACTGCCGCTGCCGCTGCCACTGCCCGACGATCGCTCAAATGTCGGTTTTTCGCGCGGAAGTCAAAGGACGGGCAGCGCGAGCGGCAGTGAGTGTTCACATTCAGCTCCATCGCTCACTTCGCGCCAAGCGCCTGGATGAACGGACGTGCGTGCCGTCTTGTTATTAAATAAGTACGATCTACCAAAAAGCCTTTCGAGTGGAATAATGAAAATACAATAAAGTTTTAGAACTGCTGGAATCAGAAAAAACTATATGAGATTTCAACGATAAAAACCATAATTCATCATCTTCTACGAATACGAATTTTCTTTTTGAGATAACATAGTACCTATGTACATAATTAATTATAAATTCGTCAAATTTATTATATTAATATAAAATTTAGTTTAAGGAATTAATGAACATTTACATTTTATTTCTAACAACGATTAGTTTGATTATTTATTTATTAAAATGTGAAATTAGTTAAATGGTAATATATGCATAATAGCCTGAGATTTTTAAATTATAATTTTATTGTAGTTAAAATTTGAATTAATTAATACTGTAGTGTAATTATTAAAATAATAATAGCTTAACTAATCTCATATAATATTTAATATTATTTATGTAACAATAATGTAATAATTCAATTAATAATTTTTGAACAATTTACTATTTAGTGGATCTGTATAAGTATTTAATTGTACATAATACCTATTTGAATTCAAAAAGAATGTTTGTACCTAACTTTTAAGCAATACAATAATTTTAAAATGTAACATTGGGTTTGTGTAATTAGCCGTATTTCATATCATTTTTGCATGCCAATTATGGCAAAACATGTCAGTTCCACGTCATTGATCATCTTATGTACCATGTTTTTAAGCAAATAAATTTTCTATCTATCTATCTTCTTTTGAATTTGAAATCTTTTTAAATTATTAACATAATTTTGTATTGCAAGAAGACACAGCGCGGACGCTGTAATTATTTCGACGTCTACCATAGTCGAAAGCCGAAAGCGATGTGAGTGGTAGGGCAGAGTGTAAATACACACTTCCCGCGATCCTGCTACGGCAGTATTTAGGGAAGTATTGCCGGCAGCGCGAGAAGCAGTGGCAGGGGCTGAATGTAAATGAGGCATTAGACAAATTGACGCCTTCTTTCGCATTCGCACACGAAAATGATAGATTTATGCATACGTCTTGCATAGAAATGAGATAGAGCGGTGTGATTGTTTGTCCCTTTCTCCGTGCCGGTTTTTTTGTTTAGCAAACTCTACAGTTTGCTAAACAACTTTGACAGCGTAGCGATTTAAGGAGTTTACAAGTTGGTTTAAGTGAGAAAAAAGTGTTTTGTGAGCTTAAGATTGGTGAATCTTGTTCAATTCAGCTCTTAGAACAATTAAAATTTTTATCTAAATGTGTTCAAAAGTCATAAAGATTATTGTATAACCTAAAAATTCGTTATCGTCCTTTCTCACTCGAGGCCACGCCGATCATTAGTCTATAGGTTTCTCTATCTACGAAATTAAATATGGGGAATATTAAATTTTGCCATAGAAAAATCAACATTTCTATTTATTAATATCTATTTAGTCAACAATTAGGACCTTATGTTTCATACAACTACTTTGAGGCACTAAAAACAACCAAATTTTTTCATATTTTAATTTTCGTATTAATATAGAGAAAAGTTTGCTTTATCCTACGTAAAATGAGATCAAAATCTTAATAATTAATCACCCCATTCCATAGCTAGGAAGTCTTCCATTGAGTAATATCCTTTATTTCTTTTAGTTTGGTAGTCATTCAGCACCCTAATAATATCTTTGTCATTCATTTTGGGCCAAATCCACTATTCTTCAGCCTTTTGCAGGAAAGAAACTTTATATTTCGGAGTTGACATTGATATTCGTCCTGGAAATAGGGTTCCTTCATAGTTCACAATGCAATAACGATCCACCGCTTTTAGTGCATTATTAACCATCTGAAGCTCCAGTTCACCATCAGCATTAACTTCAAATCTCTCTATAATATAATCTTATCCTGGGTACTTTTTTCTCCTTGTGCCTTTTCTTCAAGGTTATCGCACTTTTGAAGCACTTTTGAAGCGTTTTGTAAGTTTTCTACATCATCATCTTTCTCACTCATTCTCTTTTTATTTGTAACTTTCATTACATTTCCTGGTGTCTCCTGTACATCTTCCAACTATTTATGACACACACTACGGCTTGTTTTCTTCTTTTTTATTTCATCATTCGTTTTGGTAACCGTAGGTCGTCCTCTTTTCTTTGTCGTTTTTTTTTTGGTTTATTTTTAGATTCTTCTCTTTGGTCAATGAACTTCTGCATTTCTGCCACGGATACACTTTTCCCGGCTACAACTGAAATCTGCAACTTTTTTATTTGCTTCATCCCTAAGTCAATGTTTCTTATGTCATCAATGTATCTCTTGAAACTTTCTTCGATTCTTTCTCGTATTTCTTCTATTGGTTTTTCATAATCAGGAAGTTTTTCTAGAGGTACGTTGACATCACAAGGAAACAATCCTGTTTCTTTAGATCCTGCAATTATGTTTTTTCCCGCCAATAACGAAGCAAAGACATTTTTTGGGAGAGCTGTTGCAATCTTTCCACGTCTAGTGTTTCTCCAATTATTCAAAACAGAACGCCAATTAGTTTTTAAAGAACTGAAATAGGCAACGTCAAGGGGCTGCAATAAATGTGTGGAGTTTGGTATCAAGCATATAAACTTAATATCATTCTCCTCGCATTGGGCTAAGGTTTTAATTGAAATGTCGGAGCTTAGATTGTCCCCTATTATAGCCTTGTTTCCTGGTTCGACTTTAAGAGCTGTTAAAACCTCAGACACAAACCATTCATCAAATGTGTCAGCATCCATACAGCCACTTTTTGTTACACTCATTCTCGTTCCAGCTGGTGCCCCAATGAGTCAGTCACTCCATTTTTGCTTGGCTTTATAATAAATGGTGGTAAAAACTCTTCGACAAAATCATGTTTTACTGTCACAGAACATGACAGTAAAACATGATTTTGTGGAATTTTTTATGATTTCAGGATTTTTTAAGTGCGTCTGAATTTGGATTATCGTAAAAGCCGGTCTAATCAAAATTGTAAAGATTTTCCGGTGGTACATGTGCTAATTCTTTTTTCAAATTGTCAAAAAAATTTTTAATCATCTCTTTATTTATTTGTGCTCTTCTCCTACTAATATTGTGACCAATGTGTTGTTTTATTTCTGGATGTCAATTGAGAAAGTTTTTACCCCATTCCCAACCAGGCATGTTATTTTTGTACTGGTTTATACTTTTACTCTGATCATCCAAATATTTTTTTTAATTATAATATATATGCACGTCATGTATTCCAACTGGGATCCCTAGATCGGCCAAAGTCACGATATGACTTAAAAAAATTCTCTTTGGATTCTAAAAGAGCTATTGGCTTTCCAAATGGTTTATTATGCTGTCCCTTCAATTTATATTTCAATTTAAATTAAATTTGGATTTTTAAACAATTTTGCATTCCGTTTGAGATAATTTGCAAGTCCTTATTTTATCTAAAGCCTCATCTAAGTCTTTCTGAGAATAGTTACTCTTGGTCCCGTATCTCCTGACTCCAACCGCAGATTTTTTATTACGACCCATAATGACTCGATTGCCTGTGACAGAAGTAAAATATTTCTGCTTTAAAACTGTTGTCAATGCATTCTTTAAAAATTAGAATTAAAATAAAATATGAACAATTAAAACTTCAACATTTCAACGTTTAAAATATTCCGCTAACTTTGGCAAGGGCTAAAGTTACCCTGATCCGTTGGTTATAATTTACCTATACAACATTTATGTTTATGGTTATAACATTACAGTATACCTCATTAACTGCATGAATTTCGATTGTAATCAAAGACAGACAGATGTTACTCAATTCAAAATAATACTTACCTTTGTATGTTACTAAATAGCAATGCAACAGACAACTTTTTGGCGCATACAAAACTAACCGATATGCCTTATTTACATTTAGCCCCTGCCGCTGCTCCTCGCGCTGCCTGTCATACTTCGCTAAATACTGCCTGTTCGCGACGGCCTAACAACGTTAAGAAACAAAGTTATAAAGAATATTGTTTTTTGTATTAATAATGAAATTACCGACAAAACTGGATGAAAACGTGTATTAATATAGTTGTGTAGCATGTTTATAACTCTTAGTATATTTGTATAGAATGTCGTTTTGATAACAAGTGATATAAACAACTTTTATTATATTAAGAAAAATCGACCAATCACAGCGTTTATCGTAGAACTCTCTAGAAGTTTTTAATTAACTGCGTAATAGTTCATACTAAAAATAATGAAAATAATTTTATGTTCTAAAAGAGTTGTAAATATGACATTGAATTAGCATATGGCTTATAGATTAAAGAAGTGTAGGAATATTTTGTATAATTAAACGCATTTGATAGTTATATAAAAATTAAAGAATTAATGTACCCAAATATTATGAAAATTTGGGACATTTCGTTTAATAACTTTTTACAATGTTAATGTTTTTAGTAACCTTTATGATATAATAATAAAGTACCAGACTACCGATTTCATGATGTATAGCATGTTAGTGTAGCAATTAGTTTTGTATAGAAAATATTGCAATTTATGCCATTTGTATAGTGAAATGTTTATGCAATAAAGAGGCAAAATGGAAAATGGCAAGCGGCTCACTGTAAAGTATTGCTAAAGTCTACCTTAGGGGCTCGGGACCCAGTACCCGTAGTAGTGTGAAGAACTACCAGTGACAAGTGAAGTGAAGTGAGTGGTATCCGGTGGTAGCTGAAGTGACTAGTAGCAGTATATAGTGAATAGTGAAAGTGTTAGCTAGCCTAAAAAAGGTCGTAACTGACATTCGCAGTTACTTAGTGATAGTGTTAGCTAGCCTAAAAAAGGTCGTAACTGATATTCGCAGTTACATATAGTGAAAGTGTTAGCTAGCCTAAAAAGGTCGTAACTGACATTCGCAGTTACATAGTGAAAGTGTTAGCTAGCCTAAAAAGGTCGTAACTGATATTCGCAGTTACATATAGTGAAAGTGTTAGCTAGCCTAAAAAGGTCGTAACTGATATTCGCAGTTACATATAGTGAAAGTGTTAGCTAGCCTAAAAAGGTCGTAACTGATATTCGCAGTTACATATAGTGAAAGTGTTAGCTAGCCTAAAAAGGTCGTAACTGATATTCGCAGTTACATATTGTTATCGTATAATGTAGTGGTAACTGATATCCGCAGTTACACAAGTGATAAAATCAGCTAGTTTAGTTGATAATAGCTGCTAGTCAGTAGTGTTAGAAAACCAGCTACTACCAATAGATATTTGATACCACCGAACAATTTAAAGAAAGCTTTTGAAATATACAGTGACCAACCAATAGTGAACAACCGTAGTTCAACTGTGGTCAATAGTTATAAAATTTCGCGACTAATTAATCAGTCGAACCGCTGGCCACTACCTTGCTATTTGTATTTATTAATCGTGCATTTTGATTTGAACCTCAGTCCACAATATTTCAGCGGCAACCACAAAGACGGCAGTGAAAGTACCCACCGGAACCTATAGGTGTAGGACGTGAGCGACTCGCGAAGTATCTTCGACAACATTTACTCCGGAGAGTTTCGCCCGTCCGGCATACTGCCGTAGTAGGATCGCGGGAAGTGTGTATTTACACTCTGCCCTACCACTCACATCACTTTCGGCACACATTTCACATAATAAATTTGACGTATTTATAATTAAGGTACTGTGTTATCTCAAAAAGAAAATTCGTATTCGTAGAAGATGATGAATTGTGGTTTTTATCGTTGAAATCCCATATAGTTTTTTCTGATTCCAGCAGTTCTAAAAACTTTATTGTATTTTCATTATTCCACTCGAAAGGCATTTTGGTAGATCGTACTTATTTTAATAACAAGACAGCACGCACGTGCGTTCATCCAGGCGCTTGGCGCGAAGTGAGCGATGGAGCTGAATGTGAACACTCACTGCCGCTCGCGCTGCCCGTCCTTTGACTTCCGCACGAAAAACCGACATTTGAGGGATCGTCGGGCAATGGCAGCGGCAGCGGCAGTGTCAGCGCGAGTAGCCTGTTTACATACTGCCCTGCTCACTTCCCTGCCCAACAGGGCTGAATGTAAATGGGGCATAAGACTATATATTAGATATATATAGACTATATATAGATTATAGTCGTCAGTTGAAAATCAGTTGAAGATTTTACCTATTTTCTATACTCAAAGGTCGTCGTTGAGTCCATTATATACACAGTAATCTATGGTTGAGTCGTTATCAGTCGAGATGTCAGTTGTTTCGCGGGTTTTGCGCGTTTACAAAGATATTTTTTACACGTTGTTTACAAAGCTTGTTTCAAATAAATAACATCGAAACCAAAACAAAATTAAAATGCACAATTTCAGTATCGGGCCAATGTTATATTGAAGGCTTCAGGTACCCAAATTGACTGTATTTACAATGAATAACGAATTAAATGAGTTCAATATATCTGAAGTGATAGATGGTACTGAACAATATTTTAGTAGTGAAAACCATAATACGGATGTATTTGATTCAGAAAACAGTATTGTTCAAAACTCTGAAGATTTAAATTCCGAAGAACATTCCGAATCAGAGAAGAAAACTCCACAACATAAGCCGGAAATTATTCGAAACACCAAGCTACCTATGGCTAGAATTAAGAATATAATGAAAATGGATCCCGATGTGAGCATAGTTTCTGCTGATGCAGTCTTCTTAGTGACGAAGGCAACAGTAAGCGAATACATCTGACATCATTTAAACATTCAAAAGTTGTATGCAGTATTCTTTGTTTTAGGAACAAGTGCAAGTTTCCCTACTGTTAGCATCCCATTACAAGTTATTAAAATTTGGTGCTGAACATAGGCCTCCCCCATAAATTGCCTCATATATTTGTCACAGTTGCTATGCTTGGCAAGCAGGTTGTAAACTGCAGTTTTTTATTTTTAGTTATGAGGAAGAAGGTGCTGCCCATTTCTTGATTTGTTTCACTCTATCACCTCTTACAAAACCCTAATCTTTGTCATAACAGAACTAAACTTGCATGTGCTTGTGTATTTTGTTTTGAGAGCCATCAAAGAGTACCTATTTAATAATTAATGAATAATTATTCATTAATTTCAGCCTATCGAAAGTCCACTGTAGAACATAGGCCTCCCTAACTCCCCACCTTTTCCCATGTCTCCTGCTGCTCATGTCCTGATTGTCTCAACGTAGACTCTTCATACAGTCAAGTGTTGACTGCAGGTGTCTATGGACTGCAGTGGCCACATGGCATCAGGTGCTCTGTAAGTTTGTCACTACAGATTTATAAAAAAATATTTCGGTAATCCGGCCATATTGGTATTGTTAGAGCCATGCTGCAGCTATATTATGGTTGTAGCACTAATGGGTCGGCTCGACTGGGGAAGGACCATACTCTCACAGAATACCTGCTTAAAATCAGCTCAATACAGCTGTGTTTCGAATGGTGAGTGTAGAGATCCGGAGACCCTTTTTTAATGGAAATGAGGCATTCCATCTTATTCCTCAGGGGTGACAACGCATCTGCATTTTGATTTTTAATCAAGGATAAATGTAGATGTCTATGGGCCACTGCATTCACTTATCATCAGGTGGACTGTGTACTTGTTTGTCACCCTTATTCTATAAAAAAAATGGCATCAGGTGGTTGGTCTTCAAGTTTGTCACTACAGATTCATAAGAAAATAGTTCAGTAATCCTTTCATTTCAAATGTTTTTTCAGGAACTGTTTTTGGAGATGATGGCAAAAGAAACTTACACATACACCACTACCAGCAAAAGAAAAACTATAGCTAAGAAAGATTTAGATCTTGTTATTAACAAGGTTGATTGTTTATGTTTTTTGGAAGGTGCATTGGACTTTTAAGATTACTAATCAAAAGGAGAAGTGACTGGCTGTTACTAAAAGTTACTAAATTTAAAATAAAACAATATTCTATAAACAAGTAAATTATTTCATTTGCATAAAATATCATATAATTTCATCTATAAACTATAAATAAATTAGTAAATAATTCATTTAACATAAAAACTAGGCTATTAACAACAATTTTCAACAGTTTCAAAGACGACAGCACAGTGTGATGATATTGGCAGGTAAGCCTTTGATAGTGAACCTCTGTAAAGAAAAATAATAAAAGTGAAATTAATGTTTTTATTAATTAAGAAAATTTATAATAATTCCATAAAGGTATAACTTTTTGTATTTTATTGATCCCCTTTTAATTTAACATCAGTGCTGCAAGAAGTTTGAAGGATAGGTTTTTAAATACTTGTATCTATTGTTGTTGTGTTTTACCCAAATGACCGAAAAAGACAGCTATGAGGCCAACTGCAGGTCGGACTTATAATTTCTATGAAAATTAGATGAAATTTTCATCCAGTATTTCTGTTTCCTCCCCCAAGATAGGTCTGATTTAATTTTTTTCTTTATTGACATAAGAAGGGTTGTGACTATGTCTGTATTTATTTCTTTTGTTAATTTATATTTGTTAATTTTAGTTGTTTTTTAAAAATCAATTCAATAAACTGTACGAGTATTTGAAAAAAAAGCCTTATCCTAAAAATAGTCTATATTAAGATATCTAAACATAATAATATTATATATTCTCTGCCTGAAATAGGATAAATCTGTATTTTATGTGTATGTGCCAATAGATATGCAAACAAATATTTTCTGTTTCTTTTATAAAATTAATAACATACCAACTTATTAGGGTTAATTTCACTAAAATATACAGGGTTATTTTTCAAAGAGTTGCTAAATTTTAAACTTGAGTACAAATATATAAATAATGATATACCATCATTGCAGTTTTTGAAAATACAATTAAATAAGGCTTCTACTTTTATTTGAAATTATCCAAAATTGAATGTGATTTATGGGCAACGTTTTTGCCTACCGATCGACCCTTATGATAGTCTGCGTGCACAATGAAATCAGTTACATTACAACACATTTTATATTAAAAAGGTAAAAAGGACTGAATTTTTTTTAACATTTGCCTGTATTACTTATTCTGAACCTTGTCTGAAAATTTGGATGATTGTTGCAAAATAACCCTGCATAACCAATCATTATTTTAAAACAATCGGCAACTAGAGATTTATGGGGAATGTTTGTACGAACTAAATAAAATATGAAATTATTCTCATCATTAATCAAGAATCATCTTTTATTCGTGGCCATGCTGCAGCTATATATTATGGTTGTAGCACGAATGGGTCGACTGAACCGGGGAAGGACCACGCTCTCACAGAATACCAAGCAGTAAAATAGCAGCTTAATACTGCTGTGTTTCGTATGATCAGTGTAGAGATCTGGAGCCCCTTTTTTAATGGAAATGAGGCATTCCATCTTAGTCCAACGGGGGACAACGCATCTGCATTTCGATTCTTAATTGAAGATAAATGTAGATGTCTAATTGTCTATAGGCCATAGCATCCACTTACCAGGTGGGCTGTGTGATCGTTTGTCACCGTTATCCTATGAAAAAAATCATTATAAATTACTGTTAAATAAAAATAGGGAATATTAGAGATATGTATCTACATGCTAATAATTACAGTCCTCTATAACCCTTTCCCTCCCCCATGAATCATATAATATGAACATTTCGATTGTTTAACTATTGTGTCCGTTTCGCGGAAAGGGAAACTGTTAACCATATTGCATTTTGAAAAAATGTAGTAAGGAAAATCATAAATGCAGTTATTTTTTCTAACATTTGAAACAATGTGCAAAGCATGTCGATATATAACCTATTATGTACAATATAATTTATGCATACACGTACCCTTTTTTCAGTAAGCAGTCAATGCCAGAAGCGACCACTATCATCTTGTTGGGCAGCAGGCGTAATGACGACAAGTTTAAAATTTCATCGTCTTGAGATAGGTTTATAATGCCAACTATTCCTGGTGAGCCTGGCAAAAGCCTGTTTAAAGGGAAATATTTTATGGTTTGAGAAAATTTAAATTACTTATTGAACAGGAAAAAAATTAGCTTAAATAAATTCATAAAAAAATTGGTTTACAATTATTAATGCGCATAGATATTGGACTTTAATGAATCGCTACAAGTGATTAAATCATCTTGACGGATGTATGTGCGAATGCTAGTTCGCGGACGCTCAAATAAAAAATTCAATAATTCTTACCGAGTGACAACTAAAATTGATTCCGATAAAGCTCTTGTTTCCAAATCCCCGTAACGAGTTGCTGGTTTTTTCTTGACAGCCGCCAAATCCTTATAAAACTGTAAGAATCAAATAATTACTGTGTTATATAATTATTTGTGTGTTTTATAAATAATATATTGGTAATTGTATTGTTACATAACCAGATTTAGGAGGGGCAGGGGCGACATTGGCAGAGTCCCAGGAGCTCAACAATTGAGCGGCCTCCAGCGTGACCGGGGCGATTTTGTATAAAAGTAGGCGCAACACAAATACCTACTCTAACCGACGTGTTTGTCAGAATACTTCTGGAATGTATTCTGACGGCGCCTCTACACGTTGGCCAATACAGTGGCGAATGTAGTGGCCAATAGCATTGGCCAACGTGTAGACGGGGTGTTTGGGCTTCACTGTTATGTATTGGAACGATGGCCCGCAAGTTGGCGCGAGATCCGTGTGGTGTCGGTTTTTTACAAAACATCAAAGGATTGTTGGCAGAGTTTGGTCACCGCGTCCACACGTTGGCCGCGCGTTTAGTTTGCTACAAGCTCCCAGAGTGATTGCACGTGTCTGATTTAAATTTTACATTTAAGCTTTGTAGGGTGGATGTCCCAATTACCAGCCTTTTAGTGCCAATTTCAACTTTAAACATTCCTACTACTTTAATTAGCGCGATTTAATTATTATTGAACATTTGTTTTAATCAATAAGCTATTTATTAAAAAAATAACGTTTTTTCACAATCAGAATATTACGAGAACAATTTCAAAATGAAAAAAAATGAAGCACGTCGTTTATACGTGGTAGAACCATGCAATTATATTAGAAGTATAGTTGCAGCACGAAGGTCGGCTCGACCGGGGAAGGACCACGCTCTCACAGAATATCAGCGTAAAATAGTAGCTTAATGATGCTGTGTTTCGTATAGTGAGTGTAGAGAACCATAGACCCTTTTTAAAGAAAACGAGGCATTTCATCTTAGTCCCACGGGTGACAACGCATCTGCATTTTGATTCGTAATCGAGGATAAATGTAGATGTCTGTGGGTAGTAACCACTTACCATCAGGTGAACTGTGTGCTCGTTTGCCACCCTATCCTATAAAAAACGTCGATTTCTTATAATTTAATCGTGCAAGATTTCGAATCATCATCATCATCATTACAGCTGTTCACAAGTCCACTACTGAACATCCTACTCCACAGACTACCGCAAAGCATGGTCCTGAGCCACTTTGCTCATCATGAGTTTTTCACTTATGTTCTAAGTTATAATTAGTACCTATTATTAAGTCAGTGTTAATTATATTTATTGCTATTGTTTTCGTCTTTCTCAAAAAATAATTAAATTACCAAATAAATTATAAGGTGTTTTTTATATACATCAAATGTCTGATAGAAATGAAAGTACATATTTTGCTAAACTTTAAAATCAAAACCCAAATTTAAAACATAGACTAATCGATTATAACTCCTTTAACTTTAAAATAAGTTAAGTTCTTATTAATGGTATTTATTCCAGTTTATGATGCATGTAAAGAATAAATAAAGCTAATCGTATATCGTATATCTATTTACAGCCCCATTAATATCCACTATTATTTTATAATTCTTTTATAAAAACGTTAACCCCACACTAGGATTTTCTCCCGTATCGCGCAGGCAGTTTACAAACATAAATTGCACAAGGACACACATTCAGACCCGAAACAATTATTTGTAGGACATACAAATACTTGTTCCGTGCGGGATCAAACCCGCGGCGCCCGGCGCAGCCACTCATTGCTGAGCCACTGCGCCACGGTGCTTATAAATTCTTCCGCACATTGGCTCGAACCGAAGTAAACTGAACGACCTTCCAACGTGTGGACGCCGTCACCAACTCTCGGCCAGTATATTCGCCACTGTGTTGGCCAACGTGTAGAGGCGACATGAGGCTACAACTAACTATCAAAGCATCGCCAATGCAGAATACCTACAGAATGCAAATAAATCTCAGGTTAAATCGTTCTCACTATCATTTGACTGCTCCATGGCGCAATGGCTGAGTAATGACGTTGAGGGCCCCGAGTTCGAACCCCGCACGAAACAAGTGGTGGTATGGTCTACAAATAATTGTTCTCGGTCTGGGTGTTTGTCATTGTGTAGTTTATGTATGTACTGCCTTAACAATGCAGCAGAAAACCATAGTGTAAAGGTAACATCTTTTTATAAAGAGAAAATAAATCTAATTTTATCTTAAAATATTTGCTCTAGTGTAGGGGCACATGTTTGTATGAACCCGTGGTATGAACTAAACGCCTTATATCTTAATAAAAACAAAACTGACCGTGTAATGGGTCTTCTCTTCGAGCTTTACCAAAATTAAGAAAACTATTCAACTGCAGTATAATGCTAAATCGATGCCTGTTTGTTGCAACGAGGACGAACCATAAGACAAACATATTAATGTTTAAAAATTCAACAACATTCAAACGCCTTAGGCCCGCCACGGATTCCGAAACGGAACAAGCGGGTCGGTCGCACACGTACGGAATCCCGTTTTGGGGCGCAAATTTTCGAACGGAAAACTGCCGTAGGTGTGTGACGGGTCCTTGATTTTATATGGACTTCCTGCATCGGAATCCCATACATACGGAATTACGTTTCGGGATTCTGTATGTAGTATATAGCGGGCCTTATATCCTCTTAAAAACACTGACCGTGTAATGGGTGTTCCCCTCGAGCTGTGCGGCCAGGTTGACCGTGCGGTGGTTGTGTGCGAGCGGCAGCCAGGTGGCGGCGCTGGAGAAGCCAGCGTGCGCGCTCGCGTCCCAGTGGTAGGGCGTGCGCGCCGGGTCCCGCGACAGCCGCGCGTAGCGGTCCGGCCCGCTGTTGCACGCCAGCGGGTCCCTGCTGTCGCGCCAGCTCACGAACCCATCGCTCATGCCTATCTCTTCACCCTAGCCGGATGTAACTTTACTTTTATAATGTAACAATGTTTACGTGGTAGAGCCACGCTGCAGCTATATTATGGTTGTAGCATAAATGGGTTAGCTCGACCGGGGACCACGCTCTTAGAGAATCCCTTCGTAAAATAGAAGCTTAATGTTGCTGTGTTTCGTATGATCAGTGTAGAATCGGAGACTATTTTTACTGCAAACGAGGCATTCCATCTTAGTCGTCGGGGTGACGACGCATGTGCATTTTGATTCTTTTCGAGAATAAATGTAGATGTCTATGACCAACCACATCGACTTACCATCAGGTGTACTGTACATACATAAACACTCACGCCTGTCACCCAGAGGGGTAGGCAGAGACTACAGACTCCCATTTGGCACGATCCTGACACACCTCTCTTGCCTCCTTTACATTCATACACCTACGCATACATGCTCGTCGGTTAAGGGTACTCCTAATTTGGCCCGTTTTCAATAAATCGCCAATTTGGTCGATAAATTTTCGCCTAGGACGTCCCTTTCCGACTCTGCCATTCACTTCTGCACCATAAATTTTCTTTGTCACTCTTTCCTCATTCATTCTTTCCACATGACCAAACCACCGAAGCATTCCTTTCTTAATCCTGGTCACAACATCATCTTGCAAACCACACTCTTCTCTTATTACACAATTTCTTACCCTGTCATTCAGATTCAGCCCCAACATAGTCCTTAACGACCGCATTTCTACTGCGTTTATTCTACTCTCGTGCTTCTTCTGCCACACCCAACTTTCACTACCATACGTTAAAATAGGGACCAACACAGCATTGTGAATTGCCATACATGCCTTTTTCGACACATTTTGACTCTCCACAATAGTGTGCAAGGCCCCAATTACTCTATTTCCCGCATTCACTCGTCGTTCTATATCCTTATCATATCTCCCGTCCCTGCTAAATACGCAGCCCAAATATACAAACTCATCTACTTGCTCGATCAACTCCCCTTCTATTCTTATTTCACAAATCGTTTTACTTTCTTCTCTTTCAAAAACCATAACCTTCGTCTTACTTGCGTTCACTTTCATACCCCTTTCTTTTAATGATCCGTTCATTAATGTAACCATCATTTGCAAAAGGCATTTGACGGTTAACTCACCCATTCTTAATCCGCATTCTTCAACTTTCAAATTTTGCAAACAACTGTCCATAAATAGGTTGAACAGCCACGGGGAAGCCACACAGCCCTGTCTGACACCTTTATGGATGTTAAACCAGTCCGAGTAGACCCCGTTGATCCTAACACAAGCACTAGAGTCCCTATAAAGAGACTCCAATGCCTGTATCAAGCCAGCGCTCAACCCAAATGAGTTCAGTGTTTGCCATAGCAAATCCCTATCCACTCTGTCATAGGCCTTTTCCAAGTCCATGAACGCACAAAAAACCTTTTGGTTTTTGGCCAGAAACTTCTCCGCGATCATGCGCATGGAAAAGACTTGATCTGTACATCCCATTCCCTTTCTAAATCCCGCTTGCACATCCCAAATTTTTCCATCAGTTTCTTTCATGACCCTTTCAATCAGTACCTTAGCATACAGTTTCCCACAATGCTAAGAAGGCTGATGCCACGGTAGTTTTTACAGTCCTGCTGCGACCCTCTTCCTTTATATACTGGGACTATCACGGCTTTGCACCAGTCTACCGGTACCCGCTTCAGTTCCCAGCATAAATTAAACATGGTGTGCACCAGGCCTGCCACCACTTCCTCTCCAGCCATTAGCATTTCGAGTGAAACTCTATCATATCTGGCAGCCTTACCTGCTTTCATGCTTTTCATTGCTTTCATTATTTCATCTATACTTATCTCGCTACCTCTTTCCTCTTCTTTCGGTGTTTCTACTTCACTTAGTACACACGTTGTCTCCTCACTCATAAACACGCTTTCAAAATATTCCTTCCATCTCTTTAAACTCAAAACTTCATCATTCAGAATATAGCCATTCTCGTCTCTTATAGCATTCATCATAGGCTGTTTTGAATGTCCCCTGGCAGTTCTAACAAGTTTCCAGAACATTTTAATATTTGCCTGGAAGTTATCCGATATTCTCTATCATTCTTATCCGTTCTTTCTTGCTTTTTTTTTTCAACTACTTCTTTTACTCTCTTATTAAGATGTCTAAAGACTACCTTTTTTCTTTCAATATCACCATTCGTACCACTAGAATTAGCAGCCTTTGTTGCTAGTAAATCTAGCCATGCTCTCTTCTTTGCTTCAACTTCCATACTTATCTCATCATCCCACCATAACGTATTATTTTTCCTTTCATTCTTTCTCTTACTAACACCACATACTTCGGTAGCTGCATCCACTAAACCTTTCTTTACATTTTGCCATATATTCTCCAAGTCTTAACTCCTTCATACATAATTCATCCAAACCACTTATATTTTCTTTCAGTCTGCATTTGAACTTGTTTTTATCACTTTCATCTTGTAACCTTTCCGTTCTAATACGCTGTAAGGCAGTGGTAGACACAGACGATCGATGGCGCCAACGCCTGAATAGATCATTAATTCGGCATAAAACTAAATAATGATCCGTTCCTACGTTAGAACCCCGGTAAACTCTCGTATCTACCACTGCGCCCCTCAATCTTTCATCCACAATTATAAAATCTATCATGCTTCTATCGTCACCTCTTTCCCAAGTATACATGTGAATCCTCTTGTGCCGAAAGCAAGTGTTCGTCACAAAAAGATTCTTTTCCATACATACGGTGAGGAGACTTTCACCATTCTCATTTATACTTTCATCACCAAACGTTCCCAATATCCTTTCATAATAAAGCCTCCTGACCCCAACCCTTCCATTAAAATCTCCTAAAGTTACAGCCTATATACGTTCCACTGCTGGGCTCAGGCCTCCCCTCATTTCTGAAAGGGTTTTAGGACAAGGAAGTGTCCGCCGCGCTGTCCAAATGCGTGTTGACGAACTTCACATGTCTTCGAAATATTTTTTTTTCTTATTCCTCAGACATGCAGGTTTCCTCACGATGTTTTCCTTCACCGCCGAGCACGTGGTAAATCAGCACTTAAAATTGCAATTAACAATTTCAGTGGTGCCGGCGGGGATCGAACCCGGGTTACTCGCGTTCTGTTATATTTACAGCGAGCGTTAACCACTGAGCTACCACGGCTCTGTAATCTAATATAAATAAAATAACTCCTAGTATAATAATATTTTCATTTCCCTTACACTTCATTAACACCATCCTTACCATTTCCCAAAACTGCTCTCGGATATAAGTGGGCTTAGATATGTCTGGGGCGTAGACCCCTAACACAAACAACTTCTTTAAGCCCACTTTCATTCGTATCCATAGCAGTCTTGGGCTTACACATTCATACTCTTTCACACATTGGCCCATTCTTTCTGAAAGGATGATACCTACTCCCTGGCATGCCCGCTCGATCTCGTCTACACCAGACCAGTATGCGGTATACATGCCATGTGTAGTGACATCCTTCCCCTTTCTTTTCGTCTCATTTACGCATAACACAACTATTCCTCTATCATACATCATATCGCATACTTCATCCGTTTTATCATTCATTGCCCCACATACATTCAACGTAGCCAGACGGGCCTCTGCAATCCACTTTTCGCCTCTCCGGGAGACAGAACGTGACGGGTGGCGAACCTCATCGCCGGTTTTCTCGCGGAGATTCTTCGCACCCCTGCCCCATTAAAGGGCGCCGGGAACTCGGGGCCATTTCTTTAATTCGATTCCTCATGGTGCGAAATGGGGTGGTATATTTAACGCCGCTACCACGGCGTGGAGCCGAGTCTGTGGTATCGGCTTGTCGCTCATTTAGCACCACCTGGGGGACACGTGTAGGGTGGGCCTAGGAACAGGTGGTCAAAGCCTACGGACGCGAGCGACTTATCCCCCTACCCAGGTGTACTGTGTGCTACGTATATAGCGTCATCAGAGTGACTGAATGAACCAAAGAGCAACGAGCTATTTGGATTACGTTTGACTACACATATCTATGACACATTTACAAGAACACACACACGAGTACGCGTGTGCAATGCCAGGAGTGACCTACGCTATAATTTATCGAAAATAAAAACAAAAAATGTTAAATTACATTATTATTGGTTAACATAAATAAATAAAAAAGACGTTTGGGTAGCGACCTTCATGGGTAGCGTTGCCAGGCGCCCGGATAAAGCCGGACACGGACTCGATACATTACATTCGGATACGGATTCAAAAGTGAGCGATAGGTTACATAATTTTAGCGGAGCGTCGTATTAATGGTGGCGAGTTGGAATTGAATATATATCGAGAAACTCTCCTCCTATTCGTTTGGGCAATATAAAGTTCACTGAAGTAATTTCGCCTAAGTCATTCAACGAGTACGAGGACTTAACTCTCCGTTGTAGTAATTCTTCTAGAGGTAAGGAAAATGGTGTTGCTGAAAAGCTGTTCTGTGTTACACTGAAATGTGTGTGTGAGTGTGAAATTGTTAGTTAATTGTTTCAGTTACGAAATTACACGGTGTCCGGCCTGTGCTTTTGTTAGGCTTTTTAAATTTGACACATTTACACAGCCTATTTGCATAGTTTACATTTTCATGTATTGTATGTTACAATATTGCAATTATTGAAGTTAATATTGTAATGAATATCGGATGAATAATAATAAATACAACTGATTTATCCAGTCTTATTGTTATTTAAATATACAATTAAAATTAAATGATAAAAATCATTGTTTTAATTTTAAAAAATTGTCATGACAAAAAAATTAAGGGTGTCCAACCTTTTTACCAAAATGTCCGGCTAAGCTTGCTAGTTTGTCCGGCTTTTCGGTTGTAAGACCTGGCAACCCTATTCCCGGGCGACGCAAGGACGGATTATCTACTCTCGTTATTAATAAAATTCGTACTTAAACGTCACTGGTTTCGTAACGTATACTTTTGTCAGTGCCGGCTTGCTTGCCCCTAATTTATGCCAGTTGTGCGTGCACGTCACAGGGTACTTTTTTATATAGGGAAGTGCTCGTGCAAGTACTGTGCTCGTGGCACTGCTGCACATGGCATTGTGTGCTCGTGGCACTGCACTCCTCACGTTATCTATAGGAATGTATTTGATGTAAAAGGAAAAAACAAAATTATGTAGGAGTTATGGTACATTTACTTAAATAATTCAACAACAATAGACAGAAATGTAACAGTTCTTATTAAAAACAAACTTTTTAGGTTTAGCCTACAGGCTCCTAACAATAACATAATTAATCCATTAAATGTCGCAAAAATTGAAACAATAGCAATCAGGAGTTTTAAGGACATACGGGTGGTATGTTCTTAAAACACTCAATGGGTTAATTATATACTGTTCAAATAGAAAACAAATTTTAAGTAAATCGTTGTTTACGCACTATAGCTTTAGAAAATTCTTTATGACCTCGTACGATATTGTCTGAGCTATATCATTTTTAATTGACAGGCTAGATCAGAAAGCTTATCTTCTGCAAGAGTCGACCTCAGGTAAGTTTTAATTAACTTAAGCTACTGTTACGTTTTAATTAGCTTAAGTTACACCGTAACTGTTCCGGTAACACCGTAACCGGAATAGTTACAAAAATCCGGAGGGTTGTCTAAATATTAGGGAACGTCTCTTACCAATTATTTAATGCTAACAGCTGAGGACTGCTTTCGAATGACCTTTATCTTTACCTTTAAAAACTTTTTTGAACACATGATTTCTCTTGAAACCTGTAATACAGAAATATCGAGATTATGTTCATGTGTTAATTTTTCCTCTGATTTTAGGCATACTTCCTTCAAATTCTCCTCGGTCTTATTCAAATAATAAGGAAACGCCTCAATAATTGTAGAAATTTGTGTAAAGCATGCCTCTATTAAGTTTATGGCAGTTAATATTGGTTGGAAAACATTTGTTCTAAGTAACATTTCCGGATCCGTAGATGCGTCATCTTCATTTTCATATGAGAACGTTTTCTTTCAAACTCCGGGTTTAGTTCAGCTTCTTCAGCTATATCTTTAGATGCAATGAGAGCTTTTGTTAATCCTTCGCCTGTATATACTTTCAAAAATTTTAAACGTTTGTGCATCATTTTTATAGCATCTGATAAATTGAAGCGCTATCCATGCTTGTATGGATTTGCTGACAAGATTAATGTGGAGTAAAATGTCGTAATGACTAAAGAGAGCAAAAACTCCAACTTATCCAAATTGGCTACGAGTGATTAAGCTTCCAAACTTGCCACGGGATCAGTTGAATGTCGATACTCTTCTTCCAAGGCACTTTTTACTTTCCACGTAATGATACCGTAGCGCCTGCGAGCTGTTGATTCCTATCTTGTATCAAACACCTCCTTTAAAGTTGTATGTTTTGAAATAATTTCCCATCTTTTTGTTGAGTTCGAAAAAATACAAATAAGCATTGGAGAAGGTCTAATGAGGAAACTTATTTGACTGAAGTTTTAGCTGCATGAGCTACAACAAGGTTGAGACTATGGCAGCCACAAGGATTACAAAACGCCCGGGGAAACCTTTTAGTTATGCGTTTCTGAACTCCTTTTCGTTGCCCAACCATATTAGCTCGATTGTCATACCCTTGTCCTAGCTATTTAGGGTTTACTCAGGCGGATAAAATTAAAAATTCACTAAAAGATTCTATTTTTCTATTATGTAGGTAACTATTCTATAATAAAATTTGAGTGAAGCGCCTCGTGGTATTTGCCGCTTCGTTCGCCCTATGGTAGGGCCGGCCCTGCTTTTACTTATGATCAACTCCAGCCATTTACAGAATCGGTAATATTTGCTTGGCTAATACCTACCTTCATTTTAGTTCCAGTACAATATGAGTTAATGTGCCTTATCTTTACGTAATACCAACAATAGTTTTAACCATATAAGAGTATTGTTGCATGAATAAGTCAACTAGCGCCATCTAGTGTCAGGAACGAGAGCGAGGGGAGCATTGAGAAAATGACATCACAAATCGCTCAACTGACAGCGCCTAGTCGAAACTCGAACGCTCGGTACCTTCCGCGTGTTTACTTGAACATTCTGGATATTTCTTTGCTAATTCAAATATATAGGCGCTGCAAGATGCGATCGAGGCAGTGTTGATTTGGGCGAAACAAGCGAAGCTTCGGAGTGGAATTAAGTGAATTAGTGTGTTTAAATTATTAGTGTTTTAACTTTAATTTGTGTAAAGTAAATTAAAGTGTTAATTTAGGTAATTTTATCGGCAACTTTTATTGTCACGAACCTCAAGCTCGTAACAATTGGTGTCAGAAGTGGGATAAAATCATGCCGATTTTACCTAAGGAGGAAACGGAGGGTGTCCGTACCCGAAATCAACGCCAGCAGGAGACGGACCAAAGAAGATTTGGTGGTGCAACGCCGCTGACGTCGGAGGGCCAGCCGCCGGCTGCAGGCCCGTCAGTAGCTCCTCCATCTGCAGCACCCGATTTAGGTGCTCTGATGGTGATGCTGCAGGAACAGGCTCGCCGACAGGAGGAACAGGCTCGCCGACAGGAGGAACAGGCTCGCCGACAGGAGGAACAGGCTCGCCGACAGGAGGAACAGGCCCGTTGGTTGAAAGAGCAGCAGGAGGAACAGGCCCGCCGACAGGAAGAGCAGATGCTCCTCGTGAAGGACATTCACGCTAACTTCGGGAAAGAGATTAGGGAGGTGAAGGATAGGGTTGCTCAACATGACAACCGCCTGTCGGAAGCTGAAACCCAAATCAAGGAAGCTAAAACCCAAATCGACCAAGTAAACAATCGGGTTGATTACGTGATGGCTGACGTGAAGAAAACGCTGGACGACCTCAAACTGGGGGATGGAACTACAGCTCCCGTAGTAGCTATTACACCTTCGCTACGTGGGTTCAAGGTGCCACCATTCGACGGGACTTCTTCCTGGTCAGCCTACAAAATCCAGTTCGAGGCTGTTATGAAGGCGAACGGCTGGAATAAAAGTCAGGCCATGACTGCTCTCACACTAGGCCTGCGCGACCAGGCCTTAACAGTTCTGGAAGCTCTCGGTGAGGAAGTGACTTATGAGCAACTCCTTGAGGCATTGGAGGCGAGATATGGCGACGCTCACCTGGAACACGTCTTTCGTGCGCAGCTTAAAGATCGTGTGCAGCGCATCAACGAAAACCTGCAGCAGTGGGCTCTAGAAGTGGAGAAGCTGGTGCGAAAAGCATACCGGTCTGTACCTGCGCTCATTGAAGGGAACCTGGTGCAGACATTCATCGACGGCATCCGCGACCTGGAAGTCAGAGCTGCTGTGAGGCTCGGGCACCACGAGACGCTTAAGGACGCCTTGGCCCATGCACTGGAAGTGGAAGCCGTGCGGCAGGATCATCGTTCCCATCGCGTCAGGGAGGTTGCAGCAGCTACAGTTCGCGACCGCAACAAAGGATACAGCCCAAGGTGCTATGGCTGTGGGGAAAAGGGCCATCTTCGATCCAGCTGCCCTAAGCGAACCCTAGAAAGGGAAATTGAACGATCTCAGGAGGGTAGTGCGGCCAACAGCACCGCCCAGCAGCGGCAGGGAAACGAGTAAAAGCCAGAACTGCGGGGCGGGTGCTGGCTGATGTTAAAAGAGCCCCAAGGATCTCGATCTCACAAACCCATGATGGGAACAGCCTAATCATAAAGGGCGAGATCAACGGAATGCCGTGTAAGCTGACCATAGACACTGGAGCCTCTCGTACGGTTGTTAGTTCCCAACTTATAAGTCAGTTCCTTGGGGACTCCGCATACAACCGAGAACGCCTTAATTTGGTAACAGCCACCGGTCAGCGTATACCCGTCCGTGGAGAGAAGGAGATGGAGTTGAAGCTAGGCAACGTGATCTACCTGCATAATGTCATCGTGGCTGATATAATGGACGACTGCATCTTAGGCCTAGACTTTATGAGGAATAATTGTTGTGAGATCGACGTTAAGCAAGGTGTTTTGAAATGTGGACAGGAGGAACTTTTTATGGAAGGTGCGTTACCAGGGAACGTGTACAGCATCAAGAAGATTGTTCTTCCGCCGAGATCGGAAACGATTGTTCCGGTTAGTCTACCTCGAAACGCTGGGCAAGCTCACCGTTGTGTACTTGTGGAAAGGGTAAACAATGACCTTCCATGGAAAGTAGCTCGAACCTTGGTCAGGACCACTGACATCTCAGGAGTACGTGTGCTGAACCTTTGCGACCGGGAACAGATTATAGAAAAAGGCACACTGGTTGGTACTTGTGAGGAAGTGGATTGGTTACGTCAGTGCCAATATATATCGAGTGGGACCCCCAGCAAGGATTCAGAAACGAGAGTGACCACACTTTTGGAAGACTGTCGCAGTGTTCTGTCCCCGAACGAATTGGTTAAGGCGAAGAAGTTGTTACTCAAGTACGCCGATGTATTCTCATCAAATGATGCTGACATAGGAAAGACTGGCCTAGTTCAACACAAAATAAACACAGGAGAGGAATTGCCTATCCGTCAGCGGCCAAGAAGATTGCCGGTAGCACGTGAAAAGGAAGTGGAAACCATGATTGAAGGAATGGTGAAGGATGGTGTTATTGAACCTTCCTCTAGTCCATGGTGTTCACCAGTGGTGCTGGTGAAAAAGAAGGATGGCAGCATGCGGTTCTGTGTTGATTACCGCCGTCTGAACGACGTTACAAAGAAGGACAGCTATCCCTTGCCAAGAATTGATGACACGCTGGACATGCTTACAGGAGTAAAATGGTTTAGCACGCTGGATCTAAAAAGTGGCTACTGGCAAGTTGAAATTGACCCTAAGGACAAGGAGAAAACTGCGTTCTCGACGGGAAAGGGTCTGTGGCAATTCAAAGTAATGCCGTTTGGGTTGTGCAATGCTCCAGCAACGTTTGAAAGGCTGATGGAACTTGTACTTACCGGGCTAATTGGCGATGCCTGTCTGGTCTACTTGGATGACATCATCATCGTGGGCCGTACGTTTGAGGAACACCTTCAAAACCTGGAACGCGTGCTCATGAAGATTCAGAGTGCCAACCTCAAGTTGAGCCCGAAGAAATGTTCACTATTTCAACGGCAAGTTAACTTTTTGGGGTTTGTAGTATCGGAAGAAGGTATCCGCACAGATCCAGAGAAAATCGCCGCTGTCAAGGATTGGCCGGTTCCAAAAGACAAGACGCAGGTTAGAGCATTTTTGGGTTTGTGCTCCTATTACCGGCGATTCGTGAAGAACTTTGCAGATATAGCCAAACCTCTGCACAAGCTAACCGAGGAGAAGCGACATTTCTGCTGGGATGAAAGTTGCAATATCGCATTCCAGGAGCTCAAGGACCGTCTGTGCAAAACACCTATTTTGGGATACCCTGATGCAAGCAAAGAATTTATAGTTGACACAGACGCAAGTGATATAGGACTCGGCGGTGTGTTGTCTCAACGGAATGGTGACCAAGAGGTCGTGATAGCGTACTTCAGCAAGTCGTTGTCAAAACCGGAAAGGAACTATTGTGTCACAAGACGCGAATTGCTAGCTGTGGTAAAGTCGTTGCAACATTTTAGCAAATATCTTCTGGGACGAAAATTTCACTTACGAACTGACCATGCTGCACTAAAATGGCTATTGCAGTTTAAAAACCCAGAAGGACAAGTTGCGAGGTGGATTGAACTACTGCAGGAATACGACTTTGAGATCGAACATCGCAGCGGGAAATCTCATGGCAACGCAGATGCATTGTCAAGAAGACCTTGTCCTGAAGATTGCAAACATTGTACTAGGCAAGAGAGTAAGGAAGTGGTATCCGTGAGGACGCTCAGGGCAGACCACCTCAGCAACGAGTGGAAGGACAGCTTACTACATGCACAGCAGGAAGATCCGGACATCAAGCCGATTCTGGAATGGATAAAGGCCAGTGCTCCCAAGCCCAAGTGGAGTGACGTCTCAGCGATGAGTTCGACCACTAAAAGCTATTGGGCCCAGTGGGACAGCTTGCTGCTTCAGGATGGAGTTCTGTGTCGTAAATGGGAAAACGTTCGGGGAGACAGCTGTCATTTGCAAATGGTTGTCCCTAAAGTTAAAGTACCGGATGTTCTACAGCTGTACCATAATGATTGTTCAGGAGGCCATCTGGGAGTTAAACGAACTCTACTGAAGATCCGAGAACGGTTTTACTGGGTCCACTGTCGAAACGATGTCGAGGACTGGTGTCGCAAATGTACAAGTTGTGCGGCTGTAAAGGGACCTCAGACTCGTAGTAGAGGTGCATTGAAGTTGTACAATGTTGGTGCACCATGGGAGAGAATAGCCATTGACGTGGCGGGGCCGTTTCCGGAGAGTGAAAGCGGTAACAAGTATTTCATGGTTGTGATGGATTACTTCACTAAGTGGCCAGAAGTCTTCGCCATTCCAAATCAAGAAGCTTCAACAGTTGCAGATAAACTAGTTCATGAAGTCTTCTGTCGTTTTGGAGTACCTTTAGAGATTCACAGCGATCAAGGAAGGAATTTTGAGTCTCAAATATTCCAGGAAACTTGCCGAGTTATGGGTACTCATAAAACAAGAACGACTTCTTATCACCCGCAATCTGATGGAATGGTGGAACGATTTAATCAGACATTGGAGAGGTACCTAGCAAAAGTTGTAGACAATCGGCAACGAGATTGGGACAAGCACATACAACCGTTTTTGTTGCCATATCGAAGTTCTGTTCACGAAAGTACAGCAGTGACACCAGCTTTCGCAAACTTTGGAAGAGAATTACGGCTGCCTGCAGACCTGATCACCGGGATACCACCCGATGCTCCACGCAGTATAACCGATTATGCAAATGACTTGCGGAAAAAAATGAATGACGTTTATGAGCACGTCAGACAATCGGGCCAGCAAATGTCTGAAAAGATGAAAACCCGGTATGACCGCAAAATGAACAACAAAGGGTTCGACGAAGGTTCACTTGTGTGGTTGCACAATCCAGTCCGCAGCAAAGGGAAATCTCCTAAGCTTCAAGCTAAATGGGACGGCCCGTACCGGATTGTAACCAGGATCAACGATGTGACCTACCGGATACAGAAAGGCGCAAGAGGGACTCCTAAGATCGTCCATGTGGATCGCTTGGCGCGTTATTATGGGACCAATAATGCTCGGGACGAGCATGTCTTAGGAGGGGGCAGTGTTGCATGAATAAGTCAACTAGCGCCATCTAGTGTCAGGAACGAGAGCGAGGGGAGCATTGAGAAAATGACATCACAAATCGCTCAACTGACAGCGCCTAGTCGAAACTCGAACGCTCGGTACCTTCCGCGTGTTTACTTGAACATTCTGGATATTTCTTTGCTAATTCAAATATATAGGCGCTGCAAGATGCGATCGAGGCAGTGTTGATTTGGGCGAAACAAGCGAAGCTTCGGAGTGGAATTAAGTGAATTAGTGTGTTTAAATTATTAGTGTTTTAACTTTAATTTGTGTAAAGTAAATTAAAGTGTTAATTTAGGTAATTTTATCGGCAACTTTTATTGTCACGAACCTCAAGCTCGTAACAGTATTTTACCTGGTACGTGATAGCAACTCCGGGTAGTATGAGGGCCAGCATGTTCATGGCGTCCACTCTGTCCGTGCCCAGACGCGATGCAAGCCTGCTTTGGTCGTGATTTCCATTCTAAAAACGTTGAAAGTAATAATTCCCTATATTTACGCAAAAACTCATCGAATTAGACTTATTTTATCCGTAAGACTGACGAAAAAGCAATGTCTTGTGTACTTAGCATATTATGTATAAATACTATATTTTTAATTATAGTTAGTTAGCGACCAGTCTACATTTGCTCGTTGCAGTTTTTTCTGAGAGGTTTTTAGACCAGGAAAGATTTTACAGCCGTGTTGTGTCCAAATTATGATATACATACTTTGTAGGATTTAGATTTTCTTTTGAATTTTATAAGACGCAACCTGCGTGTTTTAGGATGCCTTCACCGCTGACTGCGCGGCAAATCAGCAATTAGTATTGTATTCAACAATTTTAATGGTTCAAGTGAGGATCGAACTGAGTTTGCTCGTGTACTACGAAATTTTTAAAGAGAGCGATTATCATATGAGCTACGTACTACGGCTCGTATAAAAAAAGTACGTTTCACTCATATGAGTCAACATGCGGTTGAAGTAAATTGATGAATATTAGTATTTATTTTTGTAATGTATTCATTCTTATAGTTTTATTTATTAATAGATTTATATACTAAAATATTTGTCAACAAATTATTAATAATAATAATTAATAATTCGTATATATATACATAATTTAATATGTATAAAACTGGCAACTGTTATTTTATAAGTAGATGACTGAAAATTGTGTAGATGTTTTGTAATTGTATAATACACATACTTACGAAATACTATAATAACTACACTAAAAAAATAGACTGCGTAAATAGACTAAAGATTTTACTACAAGATTAAAAGAGAAAAATATATAAATAAGATTAACTTCTAAATTCTAAATTAAAAGTAATTATCTAGTTGTCAAATTGTAAACAAAGATGTCGAACAAGCAAGAGAACCTACCACCCAGTTGGCAGTTTGTCCACTAGGCATGTAAGTCATCCATTTATCGATGACCAGCTTAATATCCCGGGCGTTGGACTGATTGTTTATCTCCTCGAGGAAGAAGAAGTTGAAGGGTATAGAGCCGTTGCGTTTGCCGGTGCCGTAGTAGCGTATCATTTGGCCTATTTCAGTGTAGGCCTCCGTAATCATGATCTTATATTCGCCGTCCTTGTCGGTGTACTCGTCTAGCAAATCCCTCCATTCAAACACTACGTTGTACGACTCATTCAAATTCTTAGTATATATATGATTGAGATATTCGTAGTCATCTGGTCCAGTGCCTGGAACGCCTAGAATATAAAATTACTTTAAAAAATAAAAAGCGACTTTAAAGAAATAAAAAAATGTATAATAGCTTTATAGTCGTGTAGTGGCGGTTGAAGATTATCACCTACCATTCATCATGTGAGTGTCGTAAAAGGCGACAGTGGGAAACAAATCTGAAGGGCAGCAGTTTGTTTCTAAAAAAAAACCGGGCAAGAGCGTGTCGGGCCACGCTCAGTGTAGGGTTCCGTAGTTTTCCGTCCATCACAATAAGTGTTCCCACTTATGTGTTTAAAGGTGGGTATCCATTATGTTCGCGCTCCAGCAGCGCTCCCCGTCCTGCAACTGTTCCCGGTAGTGGGTGGGTGTTTCCATCCAAGTTCAAAATGATTTTCCTAGAAAGTCCTTATAAAGTTCTACTTTTCAGATTTTTTTCACATTTTCTAAACTTATGGTTCAAAAGTTAGAGGGGGGGGACACATTGTTTTTTTACTTTTGGAGCGATTATTTCCGAAATTATTGACATTATCAAAAAATGATTTTAGTAAACCCCTATTAATTTTTAAATACCTTTCCAACAATATATCACACGTTAGGATTGAAATTAAAAAAAAATCACTTCCCACTTTACATATAGGGGGGCTACCCTATACATTTTTATTTTACCACTTTGTCGGCGTGATTGATACACATATTGGTACCAAATTTCAGCTTTCTAGTGCTAACGGTCACAGAGATTAAGCGAGGACGGAGAGACGGACAGACAGACATGGCGAAACTATAAGGGTTCCTATTTGACTACGGAACCCTAACGAGACAATAAGAAATTGCTGTTGCCGACTCGCTTGTCAAGCGTAACAACTATGGTGAAAATCCCCATTTTAGGTAACCTATAGCGATACAATATTGACAGGCTTTAATAAGTTTTAGTTTAAGTTCATAAACTGAAGTGGCAAACGAACTTACAGTAAACCTGTCCATGAACACCTGCAGCCTGCAGACAACTTCATATAAAGTAGGTTATAGATGCGTTATCACCTCTGAGGTCAACGCGTCACTCACGGCCTGTCTACTACCTTGCGACCGGAACACAGCTGTGCATGCACTGCCCTTCGCAGAAGTAGGTAAAGAGGGTGTTATCTACCCAGATAGAGACCTAGTAGAAATAGTAATGGTAATAGCTTCAGAAGTCGGTGCAGTAGTGTACAGTGCACAAACGTACAGTGCACACAGTACAAAGTGTGTAGAATTAAATCCTTGATTTCTTAAGCTATTACGTGGAAATCACTTTACTCTTTTTAGTTCTTTGAAGTTTTTTTTTATAGTATATATGGCTCACTTGATGATAAGTGACTACCGCCGCCCATGAACAAGTACAACACTAAGGGAATTGCCGGTGCGTTGCCGCCCTTTTAAAAGGAGTATAGTTCATAAAAGATAGCTTGATCTCTGCGACAGCTGTCAGTAAAAATCACGCCTATGAAGTCCTGAATTTCTTAGTAGTACAGACAGTACCTGTCAATGTCATACTTTATGGGCATGCCGACCTAATTAGTGCATGCCAATAAAGTGTGACATTGATAGGTACTGTCTGTACTACTAAGAAATTCAGGACTTCATAGGCGTGATTTTTACTGACAGCTGTCGCAGAGATCAAGCTATCTTTTATGAACCATAGGCTCTTTTCTTGAACGTCCCTAAGTCGTATCGGTTCTGAAAAATCGCTGGTGGTAGTCGATTCCACAAGAAAGTTGTGCGAGAAAGAAAACTTCTTGTAAATCGCACAGTGGTGGAGGATATGCAGTGTTATGAATGGTAAATCGAGTTTCGTTGCGATGTGCGATGGTGAAATTGAGCGACAGGAATTAGTTGGAATAATTCCATTTTTACTTTTTACTACAAGTATAATTTTAGACTCTATTGAGCGGACTAAAAAGAAATACAAGAGGCTCGAATATCGTCTAAAATCTAAATAGTCAGATTAAAAACTTTACTCCTTTTTTTACTTCATTGGTGGAAACTTTCTTTAATTTATACGGGACCACCTCTTAAGTATAATCTATTTAATAAAAATCGGTTCACATTTGACGAAGATATCGAGTACCTAACATACACATTACATACAAAACAGAACGCTTAAATGTATACTTGAAGTCCGATCCTCCTTTTTAAAGTCAGTAAAAAGGTTTGTTATCTATTGCCTGGAAGCGTATACTGCACAAGTATTTTGTAAGGTGATGTTTTCGTAATAGAGTACCTGACTGCCTCGTTGGTCTAGTGATTGCAGTAGTGCGACTGCTGATCATGATGTCCTGGGTTCGAATCCCGGGCCGGGCCTAAAAATTCAATTATTGAGTTTTTCCATCAAGAAATTCTCAGTAGCTGCCCGGAGTCAGGAAGTTGGCGGTGTCTCACCCCCGTGCCTCGGAAAGCACGTAAAGCCGTTTGTCCTGCGCTTGATCTCTCTCCGGTCGTGTCGGTTTACCGTCCCATCGGATTATGAGAGTGAGGGAAAAGAGAGTGCACCTGTGCTTACGCATAAACTTGGGCACTATAATCCTGTCCTGCGCCGATGGCTAGCCTCCGTTGAGGCAGGCCGCCGCGACCGAAATTCGGTTTGGAGAACATTATTATTATTATTACCTGATTGGGGTTCATCCGGGTACCGTCCCCCAAACTCCCGCGGGTCAACTTCGAACAAATAATTCGTAGCGTCCACTCTGAACCCGGATATGCCCATGTTCAGCCAGAAACGAAGTATTTGCTGAAGTAAAAAATAACGTTAATATAGGATTCACAGTCTCATATCGTCCCGTGGGTTTCGTGAAAGGCGACGTAGGGAAATGAAACAGATCATGGAAATAAATGAATATGCAGCATCAACAGGATTTTTAAGCTGAAGTAGCAATGGGTCAGCCATATAGCTCAAAGAACAAATGGAGATTAAATGGCAGATTATCGAGGGGCAACCTTGAATTGCACCGGGAAACGCAGAGCAGGGTGGCTTCACTAGAGGGCCTGATGATGATGTGATAAGACATGTAAAAAATAAATAAATGTAAAGTTAACACAGAAACAGTTTTTAAGCCAACTTCACACTGCTGTTACTATAGATGGCACTATTCCCATTTTCCGATTATCCGTTAGGTGTTGTCCTAATTGGCTATCGATCGTACGATTCACGATCCAACAGGTGTCCTAATAGTTCGCACGATGACGTGATCCCGCCGAGCTGTCTAGCTAGCTAGAGGTATTTGATGCCCAGTCTGTTTACTCTCTTAGGTTTCTACTCGTCTCTAACTCGACTCACCGGTGCCCTTGCGTTGCGCTCGCGCTTGCTAATCAGGGCAACGCCTTATTCCTTTGGTACACAGTGATTGTGGTGGAAACGATTGAAGTTCACGATCATGTCTGACTTAAAATTTATTTTCACAAACTGCCACCAATCATCACCATTACAAGTGTAGTCAAGTTTCAATTTAATACGCCGTTTGTTGCAGACTATTATAATGTATATTTTAAATAATATAATAATAATAATAATGTCCCCCAGACCGAATTTCGGTTACCTCAGCCTCAACGGAGACGAGGACAGGATTAATGTATGCGCAAGCACAAGTGCACTCTCTATTCCCTAACTTCGTGTTGTCGTCTACATGCACCGAGGTGACATGCAGGTATTGGGCCTCGGGGTAGCCCCCATTGCCCGGGTGTTCCTCATGTCCCATGGCTATGAGACAGTCCTTGTAGTCTATTCTAGACTAGATAGAATTAACGGATTTCTCCGTGATGGTAAATATACTTTTCCGTAGTTATCCGACTACGGAAAAGGAGGTTATCTGATAAGTCTGGGTTGGCCTTTCAGCGGCATTGTGGGTTGTTACTCAACTCTCTAATCACATATAGAGAGGAGTTCTCTTTGAAGAGGTCGCCCGTCCGGTGGCCGAGTGTGCAACGGCGCAAAGCCGTTGAGGTGTCCATGTGGCCCGTTGTCGGCGCGGTCGAACATGCCGCGCGCTAGCCGGGCCACGAAGTCGGTGATGTTCTCGATCTTCAAGTCGGCCGCTATTACGTCATTCCGGACGTAGCGACCTGCTCCGACGATCGTCCTTAATGTCAGGTTCTGCTGGGCCTGTAGTCGCCGCCTCAGAGGGTCGCTCAGAAGTGCGTACCAGGCCGGAGCAGCGTAAGTGATGATGGTCCGGATATACATCTTGTATATCCGGAGCTTGGTTCTTATCGGCAGCTTGGATGCCAGGACCGGCAAGAGCGTCGCCCGCGCACATCGGGCCCTGCGGACGACGAAGTCGACGTGCGCGGTCATGCGCAGCGTCTTGTCGATCCTGCACCCAAGGTAGGTTACGGCCTTCTGGTACGCAATCTTCTGGCCGTTGAGGGTCAGCGGAGGTGGAAATTTCCTGAGACGGCGAGTGAGCAGAGCGGTCGTCTTACCAACGTTGACGACCATCCTCCACTCTTCCAGCCATGGTGGCAACAGGTCCAGCAGACGCTGCATCTTGGCAGTGGCTATGTGGGCTCCTCTGGACGAGGTGAAATAGGCGCTATCGTCCGCATATAGCGCCAGCTCAACGTCGTCCTCCCACTCTTGAAGCCTGCCTGCCAGAGTAGGTATATCATTGGTATAAGCCGCGTACAGGACTGGAGACAAACAGCTGCCCTGTGGGACGCCGGCTCTGATGGTTCTTGTTGCGGACTCGGCGTCCTCTACACAGACGTAGAACTTCCTGTCTTCCAGGAAAGACGCCACCAACCGCAACACAGCAGGAGGGACACTGGTCTGTTCTTCCAGCTTGTATAATAATCCTATGTGCCACACCCGGTCGAACGCCTTCTCGATATCGAGAAAGACGCCCAACGATATGCGGCCACGATTGTACTCGGCCGCAAGCATGTGCAGCACTCTAGTCAGTTGTGTGACTGTGGAGTGACCCCTCCTGAATCCGTGCTGCTCCGCCCGCAGTTGGATGCACGGACGGAGACGTCTCAGCAGCAATCTTTCAAACAGTTTAGCTATGTGCGGTAATAGCGTGATCGGCCTGTAGCTGGCAGCTCTACGCCTGTCCTTCCCGGGTTTCGGCAAGACGATCACTTTGCCTTTCTTCCAGTCCTCCGGGAAGTGGAATATCCGCAGTATCCTATTGTAGAGTCGACCAAGCTCTACTAGGACTCTATTGGGCAGCTGTCGGAGTGCAGCGTTGGTAATCCCATCGTGCCCTGGCGCCTTCCTCGGTTGCAGGCGGGTTACTGTCCTCCGCAGTTCAGCGGGGGAGATGAACCACTCTCCTGCAAGAGGCGGCGCGGGCAACGACAGGAACTCCTGTACGCGACTTTCCTTCCGGGCATGAAGCTCCATGAACTCCGCACTTGCTGGGTTCGGCATAAATTGCTCCTCGAAGTGCTCGACTAGGATATCCGCTCTGCCCTTGGCATCATAGCAGCGTTTGCCCGCGTTGTTGGTCAGCGGGCAAACGGGAGGTTTGGTTTTGGTCAACTGCCGGTTCAGTTTGTAGAGCGACGCATCATACTCGTCCGCCTTCCGGATGCGCCGATCCCAGGCCTCCCCTCTGAAGGCCTGGACTGCAACCGACAGTTCCTCCGATAAGGTGTTCAGCTGGGTCTTTAATCTGGGACAGCGAGTACGCGCCCAGAGCTTTCTCAGCGCTCTTTTGCGCTTGATCTGCACGCTTATCTCACGCGGCAGATCGTCTCGCCTTGCTGTAATCGGAACGATCGTAGAGGCCGCGTGGAGGGCCTCCTTGATATTCTTGGTGATTCTAGTAGCAGCGGCCTCTACGTCGTCCGCTGTGCTTATTGGCTGATGTGCTGGAGGTCTCTGTTTAAGATGTTGACAGTAGAGTCTACAGTCGACACGAGTTTTGAACGCTCTAGGCGGCGTAGTCACCGCCTTTAGGCCAAGGGTTATCAGTAATGGGAGGTGCTGTGAGGGGGGTCGTACAGCACTTCTACCACTATGGGGTAGTTGACGTTCCTAGTGAGCACGATGTCTAATACATCCGGATGCCTCCGTGGGTCGGTAGGAACGTGTATTGGTTCCTCGGGACCTAAAACGTCGTACAGGTTCTTCTCTGCATCTTCATATAGTTCAAGACCCGGTGGGGTGATCAATCTGGACCCCACGCCGGGTGTTTAGCGTTCAGGTCCCCGGCGATGATCGTGGGTGTTTCACCTTCCATCACCGTCCGGATGTCTGAGGAGCAGAATGGAGTCCCTGGCGGGCGGTATGCTGCATATATCCTTAGTTCCTCGCCCGCCGCCTCCATTCTTATGCCGATAGAGCACATAGGCTGGTAAGATGGTAACTCCAGCTCTTGATGGACGATGTCCCTCCTCACTAGAACCGCCGTCCCTCTGTAGGCGGCCCCTTGAGAAGTGACCTCGTCCCTTCTGTAAATATGGAAATTCGGCAGCTTAATGTGCGTCTTAGGATTTAATTTTGTTTCGCCCAGCAGTATGATGTGTATGTCCTGTTGCTGGGCGACAGTGCGGGAGTTCATGCAGCTTCTGCTGTATTCCGTCCGGGTTCCAGTACATTAGGCGCAGGTTATTCTCCTCCATAATGCCTGGCCAGGAGGATTGCCAGCGCCTTCATACAGTCCCTGTAACTCATACGGTCGCTGTAACTGGGTCTGTCCCGGCTCTAATATCGGCCAGGACTTGTGTGCCGACCTCGATGGCAATACCAACTAAACGCTGGATTGCATCAGCTGTTTCGAGGCCGGCAGTCGGTGGTCTCCTATATGAAGGCGTTGGCACTGGTCTCGGGCGTTGGTCTTCTTGCTGTCTTAGCTTCTGGGTAGCGCTCTATGTACAGAGCGGGCTCTATCTTCAGGTAGAGCCCTTTCTTGCAGTCTACCCACGCCCTTTTTGGTGGTGTCCTCCGGGAGTAGCCCGGTAAGGTGATCCCCTGCCTCCAAGCAGTCCTCCTCAGGACTGGACAGCGGCGGTCATTAGCTGTGTGATTCTTGCCACAATTGGCACACGTGGGTTCTTCTTCCCTACCCCGAGGGCAAAGGCTCGCTATGTGCTCCCCGGCGCAGCGCACGCACTTCACCGGCCTGAAGCAGTTAGCTGAGGCGTGTCCGAAGGCCTGGCAGCGGTGGCGTTGGGCCGGTCCTTCTTTCCTTTGCCAGGCCTCAATGACTACTCCTCTCATGAAGAGTAGTTCGTCAATTTTGTATAGATCTTTGAGCTGCTCCAGGCTCAGGTGGTCAAATTGGGCGAAATAGACACATCCAGGTCTGCCCCTTCGCGGTGGAATCGCCTTCACGTACTTGACCGGGAAGCCTTTTGACTTTATGGTCTCCTCTATAGTACTGGTGTCTGTGCCCATTGGTAGGCCCCGGATGCCCACTTTGGTGGACTTGTCTTCATCCGGGGTATAGCAGTACCACGACACGACACGACGTTTGGTATCTCCTTGGAAAGTTCAACCATGTAGCGTTGAACGGTCCGAAATTCAGTGGCACTCTGAGGTGTGAAACGTACTCCCCTCCCGAACGGACGGGCATTCAATGGGTGGCCCAACATTCTGTGGAGCTCCTTAAAATGCCTCGTCCAATCTGGGAGGCATTCAGTCACTATGGGCGGGTATCTGGCTTTCTCCTGGTCGGCAGGCTTATCAGAAGGCGCTGCCGCCGGTTGTGGTCGCGGTACTGCTGGGCAGCTACCATGTGGGCGTAGCTAGTAGATGACCGTTGGCCATCGTCCTGCGGAAGCCCGGAC